CGCCCACGAGCCCCGGCTACCTGTCCTGTTGTCGAGCTGCTCAATAAACACGCCGGGAGTGGGAGAGGGGGAGAGTTGACAGGGCTTCGCATGTCCTATAGGAATGCACCGCAATTATTTCCAATCACAATTAACCTGATTAGAATAATGGACAGGAAGTGTCCCTCTGTAGCTAATGCAGTTTGGCATCAGCTGACTGAAATCCTTTGATAATTTCTGCACAGATGGCTGGGCTGAAAGCAGCACTTTTTTAATTATTATTTTCATGGTCTCTTGGTAGGCCAAAACCTCGACACCGACAACAGACCTCCCCATTAAGGCGGACGGCGCCAACGTCAACATCACAGCTGCCATTTATGACGAGATCCAACAGGAGATGAAAAGGGCCAAGGTATCTCAAGCTCTGTTTGCCAAAGTGGCTGCCAATAAAAGTCAGGTGAGTGGTAGCGGGGAGATTTCGGTGTTGCGGGGCTTTTTGGGGGTTTGTTTTTAAAGCAAACTCTAGGCTTGGAGCTAGACCTATCTCCTCCTCCCACCAATAAAAATACATCTGTTCCTACAATAATAATAATCTTCGTCTCTGGGGAACCTGTCGTGTTTTTGGCTCTTGCCTGCTCAAGTGGTTTCCTTTTCCCTTTTAAAATAGGCTGAGGAGAGGATCAGCTCACAGCCAAGCTCTTTCTTCCCTTTTGTACAAACACGCCTGTCTTTTCCCACTTGTGGTATATAACTTGCTCCTCTACTAGTGGGACAAGGACCTTTCAAAATGATGGTATCATCGTTTGGCAGGTAAAGAAATTGTTTTCCTAAGTGATTAACTGGGGGAAGGCAATGGGAAACCTCGTATTAGGCAGGTGTTTCCTTTTTTTTTTTCCCCCCAAGTTGTATGTGCTGCATACGGTATTGCTCTGTGAATAATTCACATCAGATCCAATCATTTTTACAAAAAAGCATGAAAGGGCATTGCAGTGAGTTCTCCTGGATTAATTTCCACCTTGGGTGTAAAAAATACATGTGGGCAAACCTAGGTCGGGGTGAAATTCTTGGAAGAGAATCCATTAATTTAAAAATTTCATCCAACTCTTTAAAAAAATATAACTCACCAGAAGGGATTTTGTGGAAAGGAGGACAGACAGGGTTTTTTGTAGGTAGGGCAGCGAGTGGATTGGACACCCTTAGAACGAACTGTTTACTCAGTGAAGAGAGCTGCTTCTGATCCTGGATGAAATTACTCGGTTGTGCTAGAAGAGGGAGTCAATATGCACACAAAAACGCACACATGTGTCTGTGACAGCGAGGGAGCAGGGTAGAAGCATCTAGATGCACGCGCTCTGCAAAATACTGTGTTTTCCTCTCTGCAGGGAAACAACATTGTAGGTCACTAAAGCAGATGTAAAATAAGAGGTTGAAATGCGTATAAACAAAGCATCAAAAGCTACCAAAGCGCCTGAGAGATCCTTGTCCTTGTTGAAGGTATTTGTGCCCTGAGACATGGAGGTCTGATTCGTTTTTCCTTCCTCATGTAATCATTCATTTTTTCTTTGCTTTTTGCTTTCTCTTGTCAGGGTACAGGGGTTACAGTCCACAACCCCTCTACGCCCCAACAAAATCCCAGGCACAGTATGAAATACATAAAAGGAAAATACCATAGAACCCTCTTAAACTGTTAAATGCATAAAAATCTCATGTACCACATGGCAAAATATAATGAGAACTGGAGCTGTTAAACGAATAAAGCTGTTAAAAGCATAATGCCACTTGGCACAACTACTGTGCATTTAACGGTTTTCCACTGTGTAATAAATGACATATGTGGTAAACGTGCAGTAAATATAAAAACTGCACAATTGATTTTGCAAACGTGCCCCTTATTCTTTACTCCATGCAGATATCAAAGTTCCACCCAGAATCCGGACTGGACAGCTTTTAATAAGGAGCATTTAACGCAGACTGAACGCCAGCCTCTCTGAGGTTTGGCTTAAAATTGCCTGCAAGCTTCCTGTCATTATACGGCGGCTTCTTGAAATAGAGAGGGACTGAACCACCCAACAATAATTTGGGTGGCTCACCAGCTTTAGTCTGCGCCAGCTTGAGCGCGCTTCCCTGGCAGCACCGCGCACCAGCACCAAAACAAAAATAAGCTCCGTAGTCTTTCGCGTGGAAAAAGAGCAGGGTGGGTTTTGAAACCCGATGCAGAAGGTGGAGAACGGGGCCCACGACGTTTGAGTGTGAAGCGAAGTCGCCACGCACAAAGGTTTTACTTTTCCAGGGCGTGAAGAAGCGTTTCGATGTTTCTTTTGTTTTGCGGCCCTGCCAAAGCCGCGCTCCCCGGGGTGACCGTGCTGAGATGTCGTGCGAGGCGCAGAGAAGCCGTAGCCAGGAGCTGTAGTGTTGTGGGGCAGAAGAGAGAGGCACTTTGAAAGAGGGGAAAAAAGAGCTAGTCAGGGTTTGCGTGGACTCCCCGCCAAGGTTTGTTCACTTGCTGTTCTCCCCAGGCCTGGCTTGCGTTGCGCTGGCTTCCTCTATTATTCCCTCACCCCAGACTACTGAGAGGCTTCCAGTTTGCTAACAAGGCATGTGTTATGTTGGGCACTGCTGTTCTGTCAACAGCAATCCACGGTGCTGTGAGATCGTCACAGTTTTAGCAGCCAGTGAATCTCCGACAGGGCTGTTTTGACATTTTATACACAGGGCTGTGTGTCATGTACCCGAGAGAGCACCCAGAGCCAACAGAGGCCTCAGTTCATCTCTGCGTGCACAGGAAGAGGGGTACCCACCGAGAGCGGCTATTGCAAGTGGCATCCGCTCCACTAGTGGAGCTAATTGATCTCTGATTTAGCAAATAGCCGTCTTTATTCTTAAGTCGTGTCAAAGTCTCACTGGGGCAGCTGCTGGAAACTGAGCTCTCAAATCACAGAGCTCCCAAGTCAACATAAATGCGAGGAACCCCACGGAGGTACCAAGGTGGTGTGGTGAGACTTCTTTAAGGGAATCCAGCTTCATAATCAGATCTCAAGCCATTCATTTTAGACTTTGACCTGTTCATCACTTACCTTAATATGCATTTTGTTCCTTGAAGCTTGCACCTAGACATTTTTAACTTAGTCTGCAAAGTGCTGTGCATCCCTTTGTGTTTCTGAAGGCAGCGCGAGCTGTGAGGGGCTCGCTGCCCCCCGAACACAGCCCGAAGCTGTCAGCCTGTTTCAGTTGCCAGCTGTTAGTGACGTACCCGCAGGACAGCGTGCTTCTCTGGGCACGCTGCCTGCTAGTGCCCCTTGTCCCTTCAACGGCTGAATCTGGGACTGCTCCTACCACATTGGGAGTGTTTCTGAGTGGGGCCAGAACACCAGGACTAGGTTTCCCATCTGCAGCTTGGGCTCTCCTGGTTATATTTAATTCACAAGGAGAAGGGTTTCCGATGTGCCGTTTCAGAGAGGTTTGGGTGGCCTGTGTGTCACCAGAGCTGGGCAGCGGGGTAGGCAGAGACTCTGACTTTGGATTGCTGCAGGTTTGGACTGCCAGTCGTGGAAACTGTCTTCTACATCCAGTTCTGCAGCTGCTCTGCAGTACGACTTCAGGAAAACCCATTGCCCCTGTGACCATGTGCCAGCACTTCTGTAACTCTGTGCAGCATCGTCACGCCTCCGACCTCTGCCAGGGAGAGTCCTCACAGAGGCTGTGCTGTGCTCAGCAGGTGTTTCGTTTCTTAGTCTGTGCAGAATGAGGTTAGGAATGTAGTTTTGTTTGTAACAAGTGGTCACTATGAAAATAAGTAGCGGGCATAGGTGGCTGGAGCCCCGAGGGAGGGTAAAATTTGTATGAACTTGGAGACCCAGGGCAAGAGACTCCCCTTAGTCCAGCTGGGGGGCTGTGGGGAAGCAGGGCACACGCTGCTGGGGACCTGCGGGGCTAATGGAGGGGCCTGACCTTCAGCATTCCAGTGGAAACAAAAAATAAACCCTTGAAACTGAAATTCTTCCTCAAGGGACTGGAATTTGTTCCAGTTGCATCACAGTAAAGCGAGAGAGACCCCATGGAGCAACGCTGGAAAAAGCGTTAAGCTGGCAAAGCTCAGCCTCCGGCTTGTATCTTTGCCCTCTTTAAAAATGAACAAACGAAGAATAAACTTAACCAGGGGCTGGAGGCTGGGGCAGAAAAGCCCCTTCGGCAGAGGCCCTTCTGGTTAAGAGAAACCCAGGATTAGGGCTGGCAGTTGCTACACAGTTCCTTGCCTTTCCTCTGACTTTTCCTGTTGGGATCCCTGCCAGGATTGTCTGGGGCTGTTCTGCTCGCTGGATCTCAGCACCATGGCCACCTGCCTGTGCCTTCCCCTCCTGCCGCGCGCTCGAGAAGAAAACAGAGGTGCTGTGAGAGGGATGAGCTGTGTCACTCTCGGGCAGGGTTAGCTCTAGAAACCCCTTGATGTGTCCTTCCCTTCCAGCTTATATTCCCTGATTTGATATGATGGGATGCCTTCTCTCCCCCTTTTAGCTTATAATGGGTATTTTCTGTGCCCTTAAACTAATTAGTTTCCAGTGATGATGAACAACAGCTAGAAGAAACAGCTGGTGAAGATGCATAGCGTGTATAGCGTGTGCTACAGGGCACTTCTCATTGCTGTAGCGTCTCGTTGCCTTTATGACGGTGTGAATCTCCACAGCTGGGGCATATCCTTTTTGCTGGTGTTTTGATGTTCTTGTTAGATATGGAGGAAATACGGAAAGACGTTTTTCTCCTTGACCAAACTTACAATTTCTTTGAAGTACCTTTGGACGTTCGCTGCCTTTTTACAGGCTTCTCCGTGCGGTCGCAGTGTGGCCCCGGCGGTGTCCAGCCCCTGCAGCAGAGCACTGGCCTGTGAGCAGCCGAGGGAAG